TCCTTTCGAGGAGTGGCTGGTGGGTTTGAACTGCCAGCCTTCTGGTTAGCAGTCAAGTGCCTTAGGAACTATGTTACCAGAGCTCCTGATTAGCTTTATTACAGACTGCAATATAGTTTTCCAAAATTATTTTACAATTTTAGCAAGTAAAATTCAGAGTAACATGCGCATGCAAGTTCCGAATGCCAGTTTGGAAACACAACAAGTTCCATCCTTGCCGGTACTTGATGTGGTCAGTCTTTGTATTGGTAGTCTTTATGGTTGCAGTTAAGTATATAAACAAGCTTCTAATTTTCATTTCCATGATCACTTAAAGGTGTTGAATATTTTTTTAATTGCTTACTTGCTTTTTTTTTTGCTGAAGTGTCTGCCCGTATCCCTTTTCCCATTTTATCCCCATAATATTATAGAGTTGTGAGATTTAATTACATAGAATCGTTAGAAATTCAGTAACATATTTTTCAAATTCTAACTAATTCTCTGTATTGAAAAGGAAAAAGAAAATAAAAGTATAAAGGAAAAACAGAAACCTTGCTTAAATTAGAGTTCCTCCCCCATTACAGGAAGCTGTTCTTTTATTCTGGAAAATGCTTTTGAATATGCTTTTATTGACATAATTTTAATGCAGGAATTCTGCAAGAATCCAAGTTAGACTTTTAACATAAAGATACACAGTTAAACTGAGGTGGTGAGTGTGTTTTGGGTAATGATAATTATTTTACTGAGGCTTATAGTAAATGATAGTGAAGGTGTATTCTTATCTGCATATGAATTCTTGGGCCAATAGTCATCCTCATGATAAATGGAGAAGAAACTGAAGTTCTTAATAATTTTATTTTACTTGGAACAACAATGTTCACGGAAGCAGTAGTCAAGAAGGCAGATGACATTGCATTGAAGAAATATTCTGTAAAAGACTGCATTATAATTTTAAAAATCAAAAATGTCACTTTGATATCTAAAGTGCTTCTGACCCAAGTCCAGTCTTTTCAATTGTTTCACATGCATGTAAATAGTGGATAATTGAAAAGGATGACAGAAGAATTGATGCATTTGAACTTTGGTGTTGGTGAAGATGTGACAAGAACCAACAGTCTTAGAAGAAATGCAACCAGAATGCTCATTGTAAAGGAAGATGTTGGTACTGGCTCACTTAGAAAACTCACCACCATAGAGTCAATTGTGACTCATGTTATTGTTAGCTGCAGTCGAGTCGGATCTGACTCATAGCGACTCTAGGTACAACAGACTAAACACTGCTGGATCCTGAGCCAGACTCTCAATCCTTGCTATGCTTGAGCCCATCCTAGCAGCCACGGTGTCAATCGATCTCCTTAAGGGCCTACCCTTCTTTGTGCTGACCCTCCACTTTACCAAACAACCCAATTAGACAGAGTAGAACTGCTCTATAGGGTTTCCAATGCTGTCCATCTTTACGGAAGTCGATTGCCTCATCTTTCTCCCACTGAGCAGCTGGTGGGTTTGAACTTCCAACATTTGTGAGCAGCTGAATGCTTTAAACACCACACCACCAGGGCTCCTACTTAGACGTATCATCATGTAAGATCAATCATGCTTGGTGAAATAGAGGATCTTTGGAATCTAGAGAAACTCTCAATGAGTTTTATTGGCTGTGCCTGCAATAATCGACTCACACCAAGGATCATGCAGATGTTCCCTTACTGGGTAGGGTTTGGTTCCATTACACAGTGTGTCTTCATGAGCCTGAGCCAACTGAGAACAGCTGATACCAGGAATGAATGAAGAATTGAATATCTTTTTTATGTGATCTTTTGAAATCTGTTTATTTTCTTCATAAAGTGTGTTTCTATATCATTTTCTCATTTTTAATTACACTGAATTTATTATTATTGGGGTTTAGAATTATTTATTTTTGGAAGCAACATTTTTTTTCTGTAAAATATGTTGTTTGTGAATCTTTTCTAATATTTTGTGGCTTATTTCTTATGTTCTTATAATATCTTTCACCAAACAGATATTCCCAGTGTGGATGTAGACCAATGTATCAATTTCTTAAAAAAATTATGTAGTGAGTTTTCACTTAAGGAGTAAAAAGTGCTTGTTCTTACTCAAGGTGACAAAGATTTTCTTCTTTTTTTATTTCTAGACATTTTATAATTTTATGTTATACATCTCGGTCTATGGTCCATCCTGAGTTAACTATTTTTTTATGGTGTCTACTGCTGATTGATTTTCTACTTTATTTTGGAGGAATGTGTGTATATCCAGTTGTTTCATTAGTATTTGTTGAATGTTAATTTCTCCATTTGAATTGCATTTGTACAGTTGTCAAATATCATTTTGTTACACATGCTTAGAATTGTTTCTTGATTTCAGACCAGGAATTTTAGAATTAGATTGACGAGAGATACAAAAATCCTGATAGGATTAGTGCTGTGAATGCATGGAATTTATATATTAATGAAGAGAAAACAGACATCTTAGCAATACTGAGTTTTCTAAATCATGAGAGTAGTGTGTTTCTTCATTGATGTTGGTCTTCTTTATTGCTTTGTGCTTCTATGTGCACAGATCCTGCACATTTTGTCAGATTCATCTGAAAATGTTGGAAATTTCTGAGGTTTACTGAAATTTATTTTGATATAAATTCTTATGTATTTTCTGAATATGTATAAATAAATTTGAATCTGGTCTATTTACAGGTGCTCTTTTGGTATAATGGATAAGGCATTTGGCTGCTAACAAGAAGGACAGCGGTACTACCCCTCCAGCCACTCCACAGAGGGAAGATGGGGCATCTACTTCCATGAAGATTGACAGCATCAGAATCCTAATCAGGGTTGATAAGAGTCAGAATTTACTCGATGGCAGTGAGTGAGTTGCCTATTTACATTTTAGGCAAAGCTTAAGTTTTAGTTCTAATAACTTTTTATATAAAGCCCATAGCATTTTATTCATAAATGAT